AATATATATATATATATATATATATATATATAATGCATGTATCTGGTAATAGATTACTCCCCCAGTCACACCAGTTTAAGGGTACAATCTTTAGCGCATGGTGGATTTCCATTTCTAGAGTGGTTAGTGGCAAGTCACCAGTATCACTCCACGATGGTTTCCACTATACGTTCTCGCAAACAACCCACTCCTCATCTCTCGCTACCCTGCGTTTCTGAAAGTGCTGACTTTCGTCACGTTCAAGGGACGAAACCCTCACGGGTCTGATATTTCTGCCCGAATGGTTTGTCACGCTTGGCACACTCGATCGCGCGCTATATTGGGAAAGATTTGAATTTCCATTGGAAGGATAGGGCAGTTGCCGCGGAACCACTGCCGATGGCCGTGGGAATTCGGGGGGAAGTTTCGTCCCCCAACCATCACGGAAGCGCATAGGCTACGCCCACTCAGTTCGTGAAGAACCTGAACATTGAGGCTTTGTAATGTACCCGAACATCGAGGCGGCCACTAAACCAAGTTTTATCAAATAGTAATGACTGGTCGAATTCGACTTATTGAACCTTCCCACTATTTCACGATTATCTATGCGCCGATTATTTTGATAACCTTTTTGATTTGTTGCTATCACTGAAGGTGGTCTCCACGACAGTTGCCAATATTCACGGGTGGTTTCATCCTGTCCACAGTTTGCAATCCAGTCACGCACCTTGCGTTCTGATTAAGCATTCTCCCTCTAGATACCACATACAGTTCTCAAAGCTTGAGCGGCACTATTGCTTTTGCGGTAGAAAGAAAGCACTGGGTGTCGAAAATGCTCTCAGTGGTCTTTCACTTCCACTTCGGCTCTACACAAACAGAATTCTGGGAATCTTAATGCACATCGGACAGAAATATAGGGGAATGCACGCATTCAATGAAAAGGTAGAATTCGTTGAGGTTGTGTCAAGTACTTTCCATAAAAGAGTTGAAAAACCGAGTGATCCAAAATTAGCGGTAACTTTCCGACTACAAAAACAAAAGATCAGCACTAACCAGGAACGTTGGTTTCTCGTAAACACTCAGACGGGCAGGACTTGACACTCGTTCTCCAACCATATTCGTAGCAACGCATTGATACGTTCCAGAATCGCCGTGTTCCACCTTAACCATAAAATCAAAAAATTCCACTTCTTATGATATGACATGAAATGGCGGAAAGGCCCTGTCTTTGTAGTGATTAACAGTATCATATTACCTCTCAAATCATGCGGAAAAATTTAGCTAACAAAACTTATAGTTTTCAAGAGGTCCTCAATTGACTGATTAGGCATAAGTGTTAAAAACTAATACACTGCAATGCCTCAAGAGAAATTGTTTTTTAGCGCTCAAGCCTAAATTCGTACTACAAAAGTAATCTTAACATAGCTTACTGTTTAATTTTACCTAACGTAAAAGCCTAAAAGCCTACGTAACGTATATTTTTGAACTATTCCTGTGGAGCTTTTAGCCAACTCGGTTCATGACAATAGAGGTTAGTGCAGTCATGGATTTTGCATGGGCTCATGTCGCACTGCACTACACTTCACTCAGAAGGTCACGGTTCGATTCCTGCCATGGCAGAAACCATGCTCGCAAATCTGCAAAAATGGTGCCGATATCAAAGTCAGTCACAGATCGACAGACTGTTGATGAGGGAACCCGTCACGGCAAACGTGGATGAGTTCACTAGGAAAATTAGTTATATGACGTCACACCGAAGTATCGCTTACAACCCCCACCCTAGTAATGTAGCCAGTTGGGCTGCCGAGGTAAGCGAGCTCGGCGAGAGAAGTAAGCACGAATTGGGATGACGATTCGCCAACTAAGAAGTCCGGAGAGGATGCTGATTGGAAGAAGCACTGAAACATCCAAGTCTTATGCTATAGGAGATACGCTGGGAAGTAGTAAAGGCCAGATGACGTGGGGAAGGTGTCAAGTTCTACTGCAATGGAAAAGGCACGAATCAATGGTGACTACAGTGCGCGTGCGTCAACTGCTTATGCCACCCCCACATTTTCCTATTATCTCGGTTCCTACCTACTTCAGTCACATGTGACATACTGCACTACAAAGGACTGTGTCAGAGACTCACATATGCGAGACATACACCTATTCATAGAAACATTGGTAAAACATTACAATTGGTAAAACATTATTACTTAGTTGGACCACCTTCTTTACGAATAACTTCAAAGATTCTATTTGGCATACTGTCAACGAGATTTGAATAACATTTTCTGGAATTGAGTTCCATGCACTTAGAATGGCTGCTCTCAGCGAAGAAACACTGTCATACTGGACCCCTCCGGCAAAGACCCTGCGCACCAAGATACCCCAGAGATTCTCTATGGTGTTTAGGTCCGGGGAGCATGGAGGCCAGTCCAATACATCCACATGGTGATCCCCTAGCCACTCCAAAGTTGAACGCGAGACGTTTGCAGGAGCGTTATCCTGTTGAAAATCGAGTTTTGTTTTCGCCTATGATCGTGGAGGTAAGGGAGCAAACTGCGCTGGAGAATATCTTGATACTCTTGCGAATCCATGTGCGTGGAGATGAATTTCATATCCAGCGTTCCATAGGAAGAGAGGGCCGCCCATACCATAACAGTTCCTCCGCCGAATACACGTTTCGCAAAATCCTAGGCTCCTTTCGTAGATCCCTCCTGTAATAAACATGCCCGTCAGGACCATCCAGATTGAATTCCTCTTCATCGGAAAAAATCATCTAAACCATGTAGGAGCTTAGTAATGCACTTTCTGAAATGTGTCAAAAACCTCACCTTTCTCCAGTTCCTTGAAAAAATTTTTCTTGCAAACCCGAGTCGGGATTCGCGATGGCTCCTGGTCAGACGGGGAGCTGGCTTCATACTCTCCCTCCTCAAGAATATTTGACGACGAATAGCTCGCAATACAGTGGAAGTCGACACATTTAGTGAAAGTCGTGGACGAATCTGATTGGCACTCATGGTTGAATTGGAAGCCAATCTAGCGATCAGTCTGTGGTCGGCTCGTGTCAATTTGAGTGGACGTCCTCCTCCGTGTGCTTGACCGTATGCCGCAGGATTCCTCACGAAACCGTCGATGCAGCGTCTGGATCGGTCGAATTGTCCCGCGATGGCCTTGTTGCTATGGCCTGCTTGAGGAAGCGATAGAATATGGCTTTGTTCTGTTGAAGATNAGAATATTTGACGACGAATAGCTCGCAATACAGTGGAAGTCGACACATTTAGTGAAAGTCGTGGACGAATCTGATTGGCACTCATGGTTGAATTGGAAGCCAATCTAGCGATCAGTCTGTGGTCGGCTCGTGTCAATTTGAGTGGACGTCCTCCTCCGTGTGCTTGACCGTATGCCGCAGGATTCCTCACGAAACCGTCGATGCAGCGTCTGGATCGGTCGAATTGTCCCGCGATGGCCTTGTTGCTATGGCCTGCTTGAGGAAGCGATAGAATATGGCTTTGTTCTGTTGAAGATAGACGACGACCCTTAGGCATGGTGGACTACTTTGGATTGCGGACAGGACAGCTTTGGACAGAAGGCGGTAGGGCTGCGCGGACTTGAGATGTTTAGTAGGAATGACGGCATGGCATAAGCAATTGACGCGGCTAATTTTCACTTTCTCGCCAAAAAAAGGCGCTACCGCAGCGTTCAAATATGTTTATGCTTTGTAGAGACTCTTGTTCACTCAGTAACTGTTGGCCAACATTTCAGCTCGCAGTGTTGCCTAACAACTTAGATAAAAGAAAAAATAGGGGATGGCTTATGCAATTGACGCGCACTGTACAGCAGTGACAGCGTGAAAATCTGCACAAATCGTGAAATTCAAGGATTCTTGAAAGTAGTGGAAATAGGGGGTCGAACTAGATTACCATGACAGAATTGGCAGGTAAGACGTACTTGGGAGATAGATCTCAGTTGTATTGTTGCTCTTAGGCATTGTAGTCAGCTCTGAGAGCAATTGCGTCTAGAGCTGACTACAACGCCCGAAATCGGTTGAACTGTCGCAATGGGACATGACTAGTAGTTTGAATTTCTAACATTGGGCTCCATCTTGGATGGTCCAGCCTCTACAACGGCCCAATGAGCGCAGTCTCTGGTTCCGACTGCGCCCACATGGCATATTTGCGAAGGAATTATACTGAGTCGCCATGGCCGTACAAAATGAGATGTATGAATACCCACATGGTTTTTAACGCTGTTGCCAAATCCACATTACAAGTCTGCGAAAAGATTTTAGTAGCAAAGTCATGAGACATTTCTTCCATTTGATACAGGGTTTTGTCGAGCATGTATCCAGGTCGAGTTATTAAGCCAGATGTCTAGCAATAGCGGGATAGCTAAGGCACCCGACTCGCAGACGTGGCATAAGGGTTTGCATCCAGTGTGCGTGAACTTGTTCCGCCTTTTTATAAAGCATATGTTAAAGGCAAATCAGTTTTACATCTCCCATCGACTGAGCACATCCTAGTCACAAAGGATGTCGAGAACCACCTTTCTTAAAAGATGTTGTATTGCACCTTCCGTAAATCAAGAGGTCCCTATGTAGCATCGTTGTTATGATTGCCAATTTCAAAAATACTTGCTCAAAATGGGTTTTCTCTGCAGTAGTTAGCTTGTTCCGCTTGGTGCTCATGTAGTGCCGCAAAAGCCGAGCTGCTCAACGCGATTCACCTCTTTCAGGTGGCCCTTTATGGACCGTTGTCAAGCACTTTGACCCCTCGACTGGATCTATTCTTTTCTGTCGCCAGAAGAAAGACTAGTAGGGGACTTTGCTCCATAGTTTGGCATACCCTTTACCACAATTTACGTAGCTATTCCGTAAACGGCGAAAATAGTGATCTTATTCAGCCTTCTGGTCACAGATGGAACATCCTCAAAAGTTCTGGAATCTTACAAAGACTAATGAGTTTTGCTTAAAAATGAAGAGAACGCTTGTTCAAGTGTTATGACTTTACCAGAAAGCATTTCTTCTGCAGTCCAGAATGGAATGATCATCATCTTCTACCTTTCTATGGCCACTATGAATTGCACTTCTCCACTTAGGAAGAGCAAACAGCGCTCTGTTATTGCCGAATATCATTAGGAATTGAACAGAAGTTGCGAGAAACTGTAGATTTCCCTTTTGGCTCATCTCAACACTTTGGCAATGCTGCTCCCCATTTTACCTCCACGGGAACGGTAACAACGATGAGAACGATAGACCTTTCACATGCAATGTCTTTACTGTGGAAAAATCGGTGCTGTTTTGAAACTCTGAATTTCAACGTCATGTTCGGTCATTGAGTGCCCATTATTACACCTCTTGCCTCACGAAACATGTCACCGATTCTATATTATGAGAGCAGTATGCTTCACCGTGCTTCAAAGGTTGAGAACCATTTCCATTCGAAAAGGAGCGCTCCGCATAATGAGCCACTCCAATCCTTTTAACCCGTAGTGCAGGAATAATTTCGAAATTTCACAATCTCGCGTGTTTGATCTCTGTTATACAGAAACATCCCTCTTCAACTCAAATAAGGTCAGTTCTGTCTTTATCCAGCAATTATTTTCTATATTCCTTATTGCTAGGGAGGGCTGTAGCTAGTCAAAGGAAGGTGTAAAACGCATTTTCAAGCCTTTAGCATACATTTTATAAAAATGCAAAACTAGTTCACGCACACGGGATGCAAACAATCATGTCACGCCTGAGAGTCCATTGCCTTACCTGCTGCGCCATCGCTTCACATTTGGCTTGAGGACTCGATCTCGATACAAGCTCGGCAAAACCCTTATCACATGAAAAATGTTTCCGTAACTTTGCTCCCAGAATCATTTCGCAGATTTGGTATGAGGATTTCAAACAGCGTCCAAACACGTACACGAGTACACATCGCATTTTGAAGGGCCACTGCGACCCAGTGTCCTCTGCTGATAAAGGCCACAGTTTCTTCCTTGGAAATCTTGGGAAACATTTTTATCGACAACTGTGTCTTTAAATATTCTGTGCCCGTCAGCAGGACCAGGGACCAAACTATGTCTGCGAGCATGTACAAGAAAGAGCGTATGTATGTTGTAGGCTTCTAGCTATCCATGTGGTCTACCATAGTCAATTAAAGACCACCTTTTAGGCGCCAAATTGTAGGTTTTGATCTGGTATTACTGTAATTTGACCAGGGTATTTGACCAGGCCAACTGGTATATAAACGCGGCCTTTTCACTAGTTATCATTGTGTTCAGTTCGTCTCCAGCAATAAATTTTCTCCGCCTCGACTCCACATCAACTGGCGATCAGGATCGTCTACGCCGAGCAGCCAACTCTAGCAAGCAACGCCGACTACGATGGATGTTGACACACTACGTGCTATTCTTAGTGCCCCCAAGCCAGTGCTCAAGCTGCAGCTCAGGAGAATATGCTACAAGCCGTCATGAAGGAGATGCAAGGCATGTTCTCGACGATGACATCCTCATCAACGACCGCTCACGCCACATCAGCCGAGTTCGTCACTAACTCGTTATCTGCACGGCTGCCCGAGTTCACGCACGACTCGGAAAACGGCTGCACCTTCGACGTCTGGTACAGCCGTTACGAGGACATCATTACGCAGGATGGTGCTCCTCTCGACGAAGCAGCAAAGGCACGCCTCATTGTGTCGAAGCTCGATGCACCTGCCTACGCCCACTTCACCAACCATATTCTTCCAAGGAAAGCAGCGAGATCTCACCGGCGGAGACTGTGAGGACGCTGCAGGAACTGTTCGGGCACAACATGTCAGTCTTCGCCCGCCGTTACGCCCACCTGAAAACCCAGTGCAACGGTGAAAGCCTCCGCGACTATACTGGGTTAGTGAATCGACGTCATCAAATGGCGAATTCAACGCCATCACGGCCGAACAAATGAAGTGCCTCGTCTGGATCTGTGGCTTGGCGGCACCCGAATACGCCGACATTCGCACTCACGCTCTACGCAAACTGGAGAATAGTCCTGAAACTACACTGAGGGAGCTCAGCGCTGAAATTCAGCAAATTCTAGACCTTCGACAGGACGCCAAACTTATGTGCAGCCCATCGTCGACAGCTGCACCCCCATCTGAAATCAACGCGATGGAGACCAAGAAGGGTCAAAACAGAGAACCGCCTCCGCCATGTTTCCGCTGTGGAGGACCCCACTGGGCGAAGGAATGCGACTTCATCGAAAAACGCTGTCACGCATGCAACCGTCTCAGGCACAAGAAGGGATTTTGCAAGAATTTCAACATGAGGGGAACCTCAAACCTGAAGAAAAAGCGGAAAAGGGCCAACCAAGTTGTCGTCGCCGCTTCCGCCATCGCCGACACAGCTCCAATCAAACGCATCTACCGGACTGTGGAGATCAATGGAGTCTCCACACGCATGCGCCTAGATACAGGCGCAGACGTCACTCTTCTGAGTCAGAGGGATTGGATCGCCATCGGCCGTCCGAAGCTGCTGCCATTGCTATTCAAGCTCAAATCCGCAAACAACAAGGAAATCAATGTTCGCGGCTACTTCAAGTGCAAATTCGCCATTGATGAACGCCAAGGAAGTGGAACCTGTCATGTGGCCGACACCACTTCGCTACTGGGATTCGACTGGATCGCACAGCCGCTATGGCACTGCACCTTAACTTCCAACGAACCGCTCTTCGATCGCCTCTTTGGAAGTATTAGATGCAGTGCCATATCCGACTCAACACTGGCTACTGTACGAACATCCCTCACCACACGGCTCCGGAAACAGTTCCCTGCTGTATTCGCCCCAGTACTGGGGTGCTGCACAAAAACGAAAGCTTCGCTCAAGCTCAAGTCGGACGCGACTCCTGTCTTCCGGAAAGCTCGTCCGGTTCCATACGCTGTTCAGCCAAGGATCAGCCGAGAAATCGATCGCCTGGTAGCTGAAAAGGTTCTGACGCCGGTCGAACACTCCGACTGGGCCGCACCGGTAGTCGTCGTTCAGAAGAAGAATGGATCAATCCGTCTTTGTGCAGACTTTGCTAAGCTCAATGGAGGAAGGTACTTTTCCCAACTAGACTTAGCCGAAGCCTACTTACAGGTAGAAATGGACGAGGAATCGCGACAGCTGCTCACAATCAACACACATCGCGGCCTATATCGCCTCAATCGCTTACCTTTCAGAGTGAAAGCGGCTCCTGCAATTTTCCAACAGCAAATGGACACCTTGATTGCAGGACTGGTTGGCACTGCAGCGTACCTCGACGATATCATTGTCACCGGGAAAACTATAGAGGAGCACAACTCTCGCCTAGAGGAAGTTTTCAGGCGAATTCAAGACTCCGGATTCCATTTACGCTTGGAAAAGTGCTCACTTTTGCACACCGAAATTCGCTATCTTGGCTTCATAATCGATGCCGAAGTACGACGACCAGACCCGACCAAAATCGAAGCAATCCAGAAGATGCCGATACCAAAAGACGTCAGCCAATTGAGAGCTTTCCTCGGGTTGGTCAACTTTTACGGAACATTTGTCCGTGAGCTGCACAATCTACGCGCTCCACTGGACGCACTCACCAAGAAGGACACCGCATCCACATGGTCACCGGAATGTCAATCCTGCTTTGACCGGATCAAGAAGACTCTCAAATCCGACCTCCTTGCGCACTACGATCCTGCCCTGCCGCTTATCGTCGCCGCAGACGCTTCCAATTACGGAATCGGAGCTGTCCTCTCACAGAGATTCCCCGACGGGTACGAAGAAGCTATATACCACGCTAGCCGAACCTTGACGCCAACACAGAAGAAGTACAGCCAGATCGAGAAGGAAGCCCTGGCTATCATTTTTGCCGTCCAAAAATTTCATCGACTTCACGCTGAGGACGGATCACAAACCGCTCATCTCCATTTTCGGGACGCGAAAAGGAGTTCCAGTCTACACTGCCAATCGCCTTCAACGATGGGCAACTACGCTGCTGAACTACAACTTCAACATCCAGTACGTCAAGACGAGCGAATTTGGACAAGCCGACGCCCTTTCACGACTGATTGAACTCAATCGCCGGAACCAGAAGACCGAGTCATTGCTTCAGTTGACGCTGATCTCTGCGCCGAAGCAATGGGCAATTGCCATCGACTACCGGTCTCATTCAGCTCCGTCCAAGCGGCAACCACTGCCGGCCATACTCTGACTCAAGTTACCGGCTACATATGTTTTGGGAAATGGCCAAAAGTGAACCGTGACTCACCTCTCTGGCCATACTACAATCGACGAGAGTCACAATCACCATCGGCTCATGTCTGCTCACGTCAAACCGTCTCGTAATTCCGAAGTCTCTTCGACGTCGAGTTCTACAAGCGCTCCACAAAGCTCATCCAGATCAAACAAGGATGAGTTGCTGGTTCGCAGCTATGTATATTGGCCGTCGATGGAAGCAGATATAGAGAAGCTCGTCAGAAACTGCACTACATGCGCACAACAGGCCAAAAATCCTGTGAAGGCCGAGCTCCAATCCTGGCCGAGGCCACTCACTCCGTGGGCTCGAGTGCATGCCGACTTCGTAGGGCCTCTCGACGGCAACCTTTACCTCGTCATCGTGGATGCATTCTCTAAATGGCCCGAAATTATCCAGATGAATTCGATCACCACGTCGGCAACAATCAAAGTTTTATCAAAAGTCCTCGCACAGTTCGGAAATCCGCAGACACTCATCACGGACAACGGCACCTAGTTTACTTCAGCAGCATTTGTGGATTTCTGCCGACGTCGAGGAATCAAACATGTTCGATCTCCTTCCTTTCATCCGCAGAGCAATGGGCAAGCGGGACGCTTCGTAGACACATACACATACATACATACATACAGGAGGATTGGCCAAATTGAAGGGGAGGAACCAACGATAGAAGCACTTCAGGCTTTTCTGATGGCCTACCGGTCGACACCCTGCCCATCCGGACCAAATCATCTGTCACCTGCTGAAAACTTTCTTGGCCGCCGTATTCGCACTAAACTAGACCTGATGATGCCATCCTCAGAAGCAACACAGGACGTCGTGTCACCAAAATGGAGGATCAGTTCAACAGACATCAGGGAGTCAAATCACGCCACTTCAACGTGGATGATGCTGTTTACGCCAAGGACTATCGTCAAGCAAAAACTACTTGGACACCTGGAATCATCGCTAGACGCCTCGGAAACGTCATGTATCACGTACGTTGCGGAAACTCACTATGTACAAGACACGCCAACCAGTTGAGGCCACGCGACAGTCAGCCAGTAGTCAACCAACTACTCGATGTGTTCGATACCATTCCGTTCCACAAGGAAGCTAATGGAAACAGAGATCAACCGACGCCGCTGAACGGTACGACGTCAACTCCACGCAATCTGACGACGCCGGATCACGAGGCCGCTCACCGTCCAACTCCGCCGTCGACACCGCGACTGCGACGTTCACTACGGACTCGCCACTCACCACGCCGACTAATGGTAGACCCGAAAAAGAAATCATACTCCTCATGACTTGTTCTAATTTGTTGTTTTGTCGACTCTACATATGTTCTTTGTAATCAAAAGGGGAGGTGTTGTAGGCTTCTAGCTATCCATGTGGTCTACCATAGTCAATTAAAGATCACCTCTTAGGCGCCAAATTGTAGGTTTTGATCTGGTATTACTCTAATTTGACCAGGGTATTTGACCAGGCCAACTGGTATATAAACCCGGCCTTTTCACTAGTTATCATTGTGTCCAGTTCGTCTCCAGCAATAAACCTTCTCCGCCTCGACTCCGGATCAATGTACAAGAAAGAGCGTACTGAACAGTAATATTCGTGAACGCACCGCAAGCCGTCTGCCTCAAAAATGAAGGATGAGTTCCGCCTGGACCTTGACGAAGCCATTAGGACACCTCCAATAAGGATTACTTCGCCGTGACTTGGGATACGAATGGCCACATTAGCAGTGAACGAAGAGATCTAGAAAGGGTTCACGAAAAGGAGGTTCCTTGACCTAGTGAAAGCCCACGATCTAGTAATCTGCAATACGTTCTTCTCGAGAGAAGGAGCTTAGGAAATGACTATAGCGGAGGAAGACAAACGAATATAAAACACCCACTAAGAATATTGTTCTTTAAAAACTGTAAAGGGCATCGCGAATTGCTTAGTGAAGAATTTTCGTAACTCCGCAATAAACGGTGTAGCCATAGTAGATGTAGCCAAAGCACTTCGCAAGAAAGCCAAGGGTAAAACGGAGCAGAGTATACGGCATCTGAAGCTGTACCAAGCTGGGAAGGAAGACCTTGAATGGAGTTTACAGGAAGCTAGTCCCGGATTCAGAAGGATCGACCCAGCAGACCGGCAGCTGAGATATGAAAGTCACCCTATCGCTTGCAAGGAGCAAAAGAGGCGGGCTCCAGAAGACCTAGCTGTCTATAAAGGTTACAAGTAGCTCGTCCAGGTTGAAGAACAGAAGGTAAAAAAAATGTGGAAATGGATGTCTTGGACGAGAAGCTCAATGATAGAAAGGATAAGTTTGCTTCCCATCCGTCAAAAGGCCGGCAACGGACTACTCAACACTGGGGTTGTGGAGGCTGGAAGGAACAGAGAAGGTGCCACCCTAAAAAAAGTCAGCCAATGACAAGCACAGGTGGGAAGAACATCGAAGACTTTTGGCGGAGGCTTCTATTAAGAGAACCGCAATTATTATAGAAGCCAGCATCTCGCACCGTCGGAGTATGGACGAAGGATGAGGTGCGCCGAGCAATGGGAAAAATGGAGGTTGCGAGATTGGTTGATCCTTCGAAACATTACAGCGCTGGCAGGGCGTGGCACTGGACCTCTCATGCAAGTCTTGAACAACGTAATTGCCAAAGGAAGAACCTCTGAAGCGTGCAGAAGCTGCACCGTCGTTTCCGGTTCCAGACAAAAGTTGGCGCGATTGAGTATTGTGGGATAAGATTGGTTGCGCATACCATGGAACTGGACGAACGAGTAGCCGATTCAAGATTGATGGAACTTGTCTTGATATCTCGAGAACCCGTAAGTTCCGATTCATGCCTGAAAGGTCTTTAATGAGTACTATCTCCATAGCTAGACTGAAGATAAGGAAGTTTCGAGTAAATCGCAGACCCTGCTAGAAAGCCTTCCTCGACCTGGAGAAAGCCTTCGGCAGCCTTCCACGAGCTCTGGGGAGCGGTCGAATGGAACGTCTCAGAGCAAGAGAACTCCCTGATTACGAACGTGTACAATAGGTCAAAGACAGCTACACCCTTACCGCAACCTCATGACTTCACAAGAGCAGAAGACGTCTTGGTTGGCATCAGCTCAAGGCTCTTTCCTCTTTCTGCTAATATTGAATGTTATGACAGAAGGACCCATGTAAGGATCACTAAAGACAATTCTCTACACTGAGGACATCGCTGATAGCGGAGAGTAAGGAAGATTCCCAGGAAAATTGCAGAACTGGTAGGAGGTGCGGGTAAAGAATGGTCTCTGGCTAAAGGTGAAAAGGTCAAACTTTTTAGAGCTCGAAGGAAAGCCAACCATGGACTGCCACAAGGAAGTCGTTATAAGAGGACTCCGATACCTGGGAAGAGTGATCTAACCACTGACAGTAAAGTGGACCAGGCTGCAAAGGCACGAGTAAACGCGGCATGGATCAAGTAAGGGTGAAATTCAATGGCATCGTTTGTGAACGAGGGTGCTTCAGGAATCTAAAAAGAAAGGCTCATAAAGAAATGGCGAAAGACAAAAGAATGGCTCATAGAGCACACGATGCTCTATGCAGCGAGTGTTGGCCATTACATAGGAATTATGAAAGGCACTTCACTATGCAGAAGTACATATGTTGAGAAGGGCTAGCAGTTGACGCGTTTAGATTTTGTCAGAAAAGAGGACGCTATAATGATCATCAGACAACTGCGACCCAGCTGGAGATGAGTGAACAGCGCTTGCGATGCAATGGGCACATCCTGCGAGGTCATGCAAAAAGACAGTTGGTGGGATCTGGGGAAGCGACCATAAGTAGATAGAAAAAAATGTGCAGGAAACGGTAATTAGTCTCTTGGATTCAACTCAAGCGGAAGCGCTGAGTTTCAAAGCGAAATGAAAAGCGAAAAGCGAAATGAAAAGCGAAAAGTGAAATGCTTACCAACGGAATCATGAAACGAATAACACTTCTTAACATCGCGCATAAGATCATAAATTACCCAATTCTACACATCCGTGATTATTTACTATCAGTGAGAACAATGTTTTCAATTTTGCGCCGACTTCACTTCCACAGCCGAATTTCCAATGGTATTCAAACGTGACCACAAATCACTATTATCTCAGCAGACTTATGATAGTGATTTATCGCAAATTATAAGAACATGGTCTACTCTGGATGCGATTAAGCCTTCTCCTTCTTCTCCCTAGCGTTAATCCCGCGCGCCGCAGGGTCCGCTGTTCTTGTTAGCCGTCTCCACTTCTTCCTATCTACGGTATATTCAGCCGATACTTTAGCTTCGGCGAAACCCTTCTTGATCACTTCCCCCATCTCTTCTTTGGGGTTTCTCGTGGGCGCTTACCCTCAGCTTCGAACTCCACTGCCTCCGTATTGGGTGATTCTGTGGTTAGTACATGCCCGAACTAACGCAGCCATTCTCTCTCATCTTCAGCTGAGCATAGCCGCCCCGACGTCATCAGTTCTGATCCGATCCAGCCGCGACCAACCGCAGGCCCATCTGAGCATTCTCATTTCTGCGAAGTGGAGCTGTCGTTCATGGTTTTTGCTCACGGGCCAATACTCGCTGCCGTATAGCATCGTGGGCCTTACCACTGTTCGATACATCTTTCCTTTGACAGTCCTGGAGCACCGACGGTCGCAGATCGTACCGGTGGACCCCCTCCACTTCGTCCATGCCGCTTTCATATGGGCTTTTGCGGCCTGGTCCGCGCTACCATCAGCGGCTATATCACTTCCTAGGTATAAAAGTCCTTTTCCCCTTCTGAACCTTTTCGATAGCTTCTACGCGACCGTCGACGATTGGCTTCGTGCACTCCTCGAAGCTGAGGAACTTATTCATGTTCAACCGCGCCCGTTCTTCGTCAGCACTTTTTGCCATTTCTGGAGCTTGTCCTGGAAATCATATTTGCTCTCCGCTATCACAGCGATGTCATTAGCATAGAGGATAGTTTTCAGCGGTCCATCCAAGAGTTCGTTTGTGATGACGTCTGTTGTAAGCAGAAAAAGGAGCGAGCTGAGGGCTGATCCATGGCATACACCGACCATGACGTTTATTGCCCCGATTTGGCTGTGTAGAGTGCGTATCGTTATCGTGGAGCTATCGTACATGTCCTTGACCAGGGGATCGTGTGTTTGGGAACGTTTCGTTTTCGAGCGCTCACCAGAAGACTCGTCGCGGTAGACGGTGGAATAAGGCTAGGCAGCAGGGCTACGCTTTTCTCGATATTCCTCTATCTTGTCTGGCTAGGAAGATGATATCGTTGTAGACCTTTCAGGCACGAAGCCGAACTGCCCCTGTGAGAGCGGAACCAATCTCTCAATTCTCTCGATCTTGAGTCGACCAGCCGCTTACAGTTTCATCGTGTGAGCAGCCGACCTGATCCCCGGTAGTTGGAACACCCCGTCGCGTCATCCTTCTGCTTGGAGATGGGAAGGAAAGTGCAGCTCCTCCACGCCTCTAGGATTCTTCCCTTAATGGTCGCAGTGTTCAGGAATCGGGTGAGCCATCTTAATCCGTGCTCTCCGAGCGTCCTCCATGCGTCGATCGGTTTCCCATCCGGACCAGTTGCTTTCCCAACCTTCATCTTTCCTATTGCTCTGCGCACATCATCCTCTGTCTAGAGTTCGATGGGACCAGCCGTTGCCTCTAGTTTGAAGCTGATCTTGCGGGCGAATTCTTCGTTATTAAGAAGCCTGTGGAAGTGTTCCTCCCACCGATGTTTGACCTCACCAGGCTTCCTCAGGATTGCATCCTCGCTGTTCCTAACGAATACACTACCCCGATGGCGAGCCTTTTGGAAGTTCTGTAGTAGCTAGGTCTTTTGAGGCTCGTGTCTACTGCCAGCGTTTGTAGGCCGATTTCTTCTGCTACACAACTTGCTGGACTTCCTTTTTCCACTCCATGCTTCCTTGTTCCCTCGTAATCCATCTCGATTTCCCCCAGCATTTCCTTCGCACATCGTAAAGTGACATTTTCGGCGTTACTACTAGATCGGCCCTTCGGGATCTGGAAGTCTAGCTCCCACTAACTTCTCTTTGAATTGTCTTTCGGCTTGGTACAGCTAACACCACCGGATTCTCTGTTCCGTTCTTGTCCTCCATTTCTTGGGAAGAACGATGGTTATGCCTGCTAGGAGAGCCTTTGCTGTGGAACCAGATCTTCTCCAAGCAGTACCATGATGTCCTTTACGGTTTTGAGGAACGATCTTCGTATGAGCACATGATCTATTTCCGTTTCTCTCACTCCACTGCTATGAATTACCTTCTGAGCCTTCCTTTTCGCTAAGGTGCTGAAGACTGCCAAGTCATGGGCTATGGCATCTTTCATAGTCCACGACCGGTCGCGCGACCGGTCGCTAGCGACTGGCGACCAGTCGCGCGACCGGTCGTGGACTATGAAAGATGCCTATGGCCAGATCGAGCACCCTCTCTCCTTCTTCGTTTCTGACTCCTATTCCTCTATCTCCACGTACTCTTTCCAGTTTCCTCCCTTCACTGCCGACGTGCCCAAATCACCTCCTATAGTGAGATAGTCCCCCTACGTAACTCATCGGATGACCTCGTCAGGGCTTAGACAGAACTCATCCTTCTCGATGACGGGGCAGCCGGTATGTGGTACGTACATTGATATTATTGTCCAGTACCCCTCCTTCGTGTCTAACCTAACAGTCATGATTCGAGTGCTGAACTGTTCTAATTCAAAGGCGAAGACAGAGTCTTTGAGGGACTTGCTCCTGCTCTGACCACACTATTTCGTTTTGTGTCTTCTCCGTTGTAGAAGAGCTTGAACCCTCTCCAGTTCCCCTGGATTTCGCTCCTTTCCTGCGGGTCTCCTGAAGGTAGGACTTGGATGTTCTTCGTGAGATCGGCGACCCCTCGATACTTCCCAGCAAGCGATTTAGAACCCCAATTCGAACCAACTTCTTTAGTCGAGACGTTAACTCCTCGGTAGCCCTCGCACGCTGTCCACAGGACTAGGCGGGGGTCCTACGCGCCACTTCCGGGTGACGTCCTAGCTTTATCCCTGATAGTTTTGAGACTTCAGGCATGATTATTGTGACTAGGCTTTCCATCAGCCGGCCTGTCAACCTGGGCCTGACGCTGGTCTCGATGCGATCGATTAACTTACGAAAAGAGTCTGGGAACCTGTGCGCCTTCAATTCTGATATGCTTTTGCTCTTGTGCGGGATACACCGTTAATACAAATTCCATAACTTCAACTAGCGTTGCTAAAGCTTCCAAATCCACAATTGTGGAGTCCATATAGCGACACTGCAAACTGCAACTGCAAACTATTCCACAAGCTGGAACAATGCGCTCAATGTCCAAAACGCAAACGCAATTTGACTAAGAAAAACGAATTATCGAGAAATCGTTACCATTAAACACCAATTGAAGGATTGCTCGCGTATGCCTTAATGTAAGCTGGAAGCTGCTCCAAATATTTAGTAACCAACGCAAAACTTTGAAGAGCTCTGTGACGATGTTACGAGCTGTCTGACATTTGTCAAGCTACCTACAAGGCAACAGTAGTTAGCCGATCATTACACATCATTAGCTACTGGTCATTACATCTCAGAAAATGAAAAATGTGGGCTCTCTGAAATACAAAAAAGTGATAAAACAAAGTGATACACAACAAATAAAACAACGATGAACAAATAGAAGTAACAACAACAACAATAAATTATCTTCATTGGTGGCTGCTTATTCATTGGACATGACAATATAGTTTTTTTTTCAAAATATGACTTCAAAGAAGATAAGCTAAATTTGGGTTGGCCGACCAGAGTCAAATAACGCTTCGTTTAGCCCGGGAAGAGGGGTGTATGTCGTTTGGCGCAGCCCTTCGCACCCACCTTGCTATTGGGGCACATAGGCTCGTAATTGCCTCCATGGCGCCGCCCATTCGACTCGGTTTGTGAGCTGGGCAACTCGTCCAGCTGATTCAACCTCCTGTCAATGCTAGTCAGCCTACCCACTGCCCATCCAGCTGATAGACGCCCGATCGATAGCGCCGCTATAATTAGACGCCGAATTGACCTACCTGT